TATACACCCATAAATACATACATAATTGTAAGGAACAATATGGACATGGGCAAAGGACTATAGAAAAGCAACAAACATCATAACAGTATTATCATCGCCTGCGCATCGCAGGCGATGATCCCCTCTCGGCCTTACGTCTGGCGGGGGCGGACCCTTTTGTACAAAGTTGAGAACATAGGCATTACTCGATATAAGCGTCTTACGACGTCTTGGCTCAATAAACTCCTTCGTGCTCACGCTTTCTTACTTTTTCAGGTACATAAAGTTTAAGTCCAGGCACATAGACTTACCTTGCTCTGCATATCTTTTCCGAACTTCATCAGGATCTGGCAAAAATGACAAATCTGCATCACTGTCAATCCCACTGCCTCCACCTTCACCCATATCCAAGTCTTCTCCTCTGAAACATTTCCGTATTCCTAATTTACAACCGAGATTGCTTATGCTTACCTATCCCTATTCCTCTTTCGTTTCAAACGCTCTTTCTCCTCCTTTTTCTTCTGTTTCAATTTTATGTCGTTTCCGATCTTCCTACAAACAATATCGTAGAGTAAAAGGATAAAAGGATAAAGCATTTGCCGTTGATCAATCCCTTTTTGGGATGCGGCACGCATTCTACTTCCATTTGTACATTCGTAGTGGCGTTTGAATGCGATGTGGCCTATACAATGACTTGCGGGGGCCAGCCGATGTACAAGTCAGTGTTTTTATCCTCCCAGACAAGTCTGGTACCAATTAACCGACCCCGGAGGGATGGAAGGCTTGGTTGGCCCGGGCGACTCACGACCCAGGATTTGATCCCCGGACCGCTCGCGTGGTAAGCGTGCCACTTGCCACTACACCACTTCCGCCCTGGAGCATGCGGGGCTCGAACCCGCGACAGTCAAGTTGAATAGAATGTTCGAAATACGTCCCACATCAGCCAGCACGCGCGCCTATCTGCATCTTTGTCTTCTCGCCGCGCGACGAGCCTCCTGTCGGGTACCCGAAAACTAGACTATTGCACTATATGCCTGCTTATTGAAATATATTCGTTTATTTGAATGTTGTTTCATTTAGGTCGAAAAACATACGGACGTCTATGCTTTCGGCGTAACCATGTGGGAGGTGTTCCAGGTTCCCTATCATATACCGTACCATGAATGGAACGCAGACGAGGTGAATCCGACGTGGAGGAGTACCTGAGATCTGGGATGCCCATCGCGCAGTGGGAAAGCTGAGACGCAAGAGACGGGTCAGCGGACGAGCCACAGTGGGTATTGTGCAATATATCGGGACTGCGCTTAACAGTATCAGTGTCTATGTAATTTTGACGCCTAAAGTCGCTGGGCAGTGCCTCGCTTTTCATCCCTGTCCACTCGATGCGATCTGCATTTCTGCTTATGCTCGCACGAATGGCCTACTTTCGTATGTCGACTAAAAAAAAGGTTTCGTAACATCTCTTTTGCACACAAAAATATCTCAGGAACATAGTTACAACCTAATGTGTTCGAAGCACTATGCCATATCCACTCAGAATGCATGCCGGTGAAGTGGCAAGTTTGATGAAAGATGCTGGGTGAAGTGGCTAGAGCTTGTCGATGAGAATTACTTAATATATATATTTTTTTTTACAGAAAATGCAATTCTTAGAAGGCTTCGAGTCTAGTTTTTTTGAAATTCTCAATGCACGGATAATAAATATCCTGCAAAACCGTTAAACTCATTCCAAGGTATAGAATGGATGACGCTTATTGTGGCACGCGCGTTTTAAGTGCAGCTCGACCGAGGCGTGTTATTCCTCGAATCTGTCGCTGGGAAACTCTTGAGTGTATCAAAAATGCTTGTGTAAATGTCAAAAGTTCGACTTTCCATGGATCTTAGCATAGCTTTCAGAATACAAGGGCGTAGTAAATGAGCTTGCAACCAAGGCTGGCACTAACCTCATTAGGCCAACGTTTCGGGCTTTCATCTTCTTCAGGCCTTTAGAGATGCTGACCAGAGAGGTCCACCTGCCACCCTAGTGGGAAACTCAATTACTGCACTATCGTATTGTGATTGCGTACATTATTATTAGCACTATTTATAATATATTCTACTGGTATCACCAAATATCAAAAAATCAAACATGACTCACATAAAAATAGCCATGAGTCAAATGTATAATAGTATGTATGTCCAACTTCTCTGTGCCATAGAATCCCTACAGGCGCGTGTTAAGCACGCTTACTGGCTCGCTGGTTCGCCCCTCTCGCGCCGTCTCGTGCCTAAGTCTCTATATCCGTTCAGCACAGAAAGTGTTAGAGTTGAAGAGAGCAGCACCGATGAGAGTAGCATCGAATGCGCAAATCAAACGGCAAGGTGAGGTCCATTCTCGGGTTCTAAGCCATTTTCTCAGTTTTTCCTTCTTTCGTACGTATCCACTCACCACCTCTAACTTGAATTTTCCAATAAGGATTGCATTTTTAACGTTAATTCGCCTTTAATACACTTTTTCAGCTGAACCTAAACTTCGACCCACGTTCAAATCGATAGTGTTGTTTCTAAAGGCTTGTACGAAAGAAATCACGAAGACGCAGGACACCACTGAAGAACACTGACCAAGCAAACAAATTCTCTTCACAAAGCAACGTGTATAACAAAAAACCGAAATAACAGCGAAATTCCATCTAAACCTTATAATAAATTCGTCAGAATCATTAGTTCTCTGTTAAGTTTATCGAAAATCACCCTCTACTCACCGTTATCGAGAAATGTGTATTATTATTATTATATTATTAGTTTTTGGAAGTACTAATAGAGCTTGAGATATTGACAACAAGTGAAAATAAATTATTTTCCGACTAGTGTCTTTCAAGCTTATGGTCAGATTATTCATTGTATTTGAAGAGAAGGACTTAAAGGCACAACCCAGGCAGAGGTCGTGTGAACGATTCCTTCGGTCTGTAGTATAGACCCTAGAGGACAATCACAGATGTGGCGTTCCCGTGCACGGAAATCACCGACAAGAGCGCTTGGGCCTTGCAAAGTAAGCTGCTGCAGCTGCAATTTTCTCTTATCAGGCTGTTGTCTGGCGCCCTCTCATCTCTCGCCTCATACTCTCCTCTCCGCGCTTACAAGGGTCTTCGAGCGCGCTTTTTCAAAACGGTTTCTTGCATATTGTAGGGACGCATGTAGGGAACACAAAACCATGTTTCATTTTCGCTGAACGGTTTTAGCAGTACCAAAAAAGAAAGGTACTGTTGATGGTTCGATCCCCCGTGGCGACTAAATTTTGCATTTGGGTTGGCGCCTACGGGTTGGTGCCAAATCGCGCTAAATGTCAAAATCAGATGTCATATTCATCGTCAGGACCATTTTGAAGCCAAAAGTGGCCGCCAACCTTGATTGCAAAATTTAGTCGCCGCGGGGGATCGAACCATCAAGGTATCATTCACCACTTTTTGGTACTACTAAAACCGTTCAGCGAAAACGAAACATGGTTTTGTGGTCCATACATGCGTCCCTACAATATGCAAGAAACCGTTTCCAAAAAGCGCGGCTTGCCCTGAAAGACCTCCCTTGTTAGCCTCTCATTGTCTTAGCACTGCCGATTACGAAGGCGACTAAGCTCTAAACCTAAACGTTTTCGACGGATTTCTTTCCTATTCTTTACTGCCGGCCCATTTCGCGACTAACACATTCGATTTGTGTGCACGGAAACACCACAAGTTGACCCGGGGGCCAGAGTCAACCCTGCGTTGCGCAGTTCGCAACGGCACGTTGAGAGATCCTCAACGCACGCTGTATGGGCGGAGACGCAGACGGCTCGAGCATGCGAGTGTGAATGTTCGCGCGAGAGAACGTGTCTAATCGGGCGAAACTGCGCAACGTGGCCGTTGAAAACTGCGCAACGCAGGGTTGACTCTGCCGTCCTCCTAAAGCATTCGGCACGAGCGGTAACCTGCGGGAATGGATGGGAACCGCGACTCGTCGCCGGATTTTGGGTGCATGGCGTGTTCATAAGCGCAGTTTCGAGCCAACGATTATGAGCCTTAGTTTTCCGTCCCTTGCAATGAAGTTTACAGTTTGAGAGACGTCAAGAGCTTCCCGAAAGAATCTCTAATGAGAGGAAGGATACCACTACACAAGAAGAAATGCGGTTTTCAGCGTCACCGTCACAAGCACTAAACAGTCCAGTTCAAGAATTGCACTATTTTGTCACAACTTATAAGGAAGCAACAAACTCATGAAGTTCAGAAATCTTGCACTTCTGTATGCAATTTTCGCATGAAAAAGTTATGGTCGCTGAGAAGTTACTGGAACCTGACGAGCCCTCGACCAGTACTCGAGAAAAAGAATCCTACAACGGGACATTTGGGAATGCCTCACAAATCAGCTCATCCGAAAAGGGTCGACTAGAGTGCAATTGCTTCTAGCTTAAAGGTACTTTTCTCGATTTTCCCTGATCTATGCACACTGATGCACACAAAGGATTACAGCTTTCGAAATGTGTCTTGCGCTCTTAAAAGTTTTCCTCTCGTTATCTCTGCAAAAATCCTTCAACAAAGGCCATTTTTGACATCCTTAATGTGGCAGGTCATCTCAAGTACCTTGTATAGAAAATATACTGCAGTCACGGTGCCATTTTAACACTCCCGACTCGATGCGTTTTTAGGAAGTTATGACTTTTTAACACGTTGACGACATCGCGCGTTTTGTGCTTTTGCACCGCGTGGGACAAGAGCGATTTTGCGAGCGCAGCCGCCGCACACCAAATCCATGGATTTTGAAGCTGTAAATACCGCAATACTTAGATGCGATGAAATGTTTTCAATGATGTTCGATCTGTCTAGCTTATCAAGTACAGTAATGGAAGTTTGACCGAAATGACGTGTTAAGGCCATGAAAAGGGGAAATTTTGCTTAATTTCCCTTTAGTGGTTCCAAAATTAATTTGGACGTGGTTGTTTCAGTAAAAACACATATCTTCCCATACGAATAGGTTTGTATTCACTTCTGTTATTCCTTTTTATCAACATGTCTACGTTATTGAAAAGAAAACGAGGAATGAATTGAACAGACATATCCGTAAGGTCTGGAAAACGTCTGCCAAACTAAAGAATATTTGGCCTTTCTGTGAGCCATGTGGTTTTTAAGTATGCTAATGTATGACCTATAGAATGAGTACAAAGACCTTAGGAATAAGTCGCACAAGCGCAAGAAAAAGGGATGACTTGGTGGGACGCGTTACCGCGTCACAATGTCCCACGAGGTGCGCAAAGTGGGACGCGTTACCGCGTCACGCTGTCGTCAACGTGTTAAAGGTAGAAAGTCCGCTCCTTTCGAGAATTTTTTTGTTGAGACTCGTCTCTCATATTTAGTCAGTTCGGCATCCTGCTCTTCCATGATGCAACCGCTATTACCCCCATTCAATTTAATCTAGGTTGTTGCTTCAAAACTACGTTCTCTAGTATGCAGAGGGTGCAGTGGTCTGATAATCCCTTCCGGAATGGGCAACGCTTTGTAGCGACTGCAGACGTCCTGATGGCCAATTTTGAGAGGAAGGGAGGATCCAATTCGTTTTTCGAAAGATTCGTGGTTATCTGGCTTTTTTCGTAATTGAATGGGTTATGACCAGTCGTGTTCGTCATTTTACAAGGGGGGTCGCATTGCCTCAGAGGGTCCGACTGGGGGGGGGTCGTTTTGAAGGATTTTCAACAGATTTCATGAAAAATGCTTGCAATGGGTGAAATCAGACTTTGCTGTTTCAGCACATACAAATCCTTGCTCTACGACATTTTGGAGAAGAATTTTGGAGGAGCTAAAGGTTGTTGTGTGCCACTTATCAGTCTAATCGTAAGAAACGAATACCTTTAGGAAGGGAGGGTTGGGGCGTGGAAATTTTTGAGTCGCCACAACGCACATTTGATTTTGCTCCGTTGTGTTTGTGTGAAGGTAGAGGCAGAGAACGCGGCTGTAAGCGCTTCTTCGGGCGCACGCACAGTCGGTCGGTCCGATGCAACGATCGATAGCCATCTGACTGCTAATGCATCTAGTGTGAATCAGGGTGTGGGTACTTAGGACAGAACGCGACTTTTTCGCTCTTCGCAACGCGACATCGCGCGGCAGGCTGGCGCACCCGCAGCGAAAAAACTACGGTATGGAAGAACGCGCGATTGGAGCACGATATTTGTGTCGGCTTTGATTGCGACAAGGAGTTTGAAGCTTAATAGCCATGGATTTGATAATGAACGAGGAAATGGTAACCAGAAGTGGACCGCTAACTAGCAGTGAAGAGGGAGGTAGGTTATTTTTGCAGAGATGGATGGTAGAGCTTCTGGAGAACCTGGAAGAAATGGTTGATGGACGTTTGATGAGACGACTGTAAACTTCTGCATAGGGGTTATTTGGGGCCCTGATCATGAATATGACACTCATTTTTCACATTCGTGCTGTTTAACGCATACTTTCTGCTTTACTAAGCTTTCTCACCTACAGCGCCTACGACTAAGCTAGGGGAGGGGAGTGAAACTCCGGAGTGGGTAAACCACGCACCGTGTGGCAAAAGTTGGAGTGTGTCACACCACAGGGGAATGGCCTACCCACTTTGGAGCCCTACACTACTCAAAGGGCTTAGTCCTATTGCGATCTAATTAGTGCGAGGGCGCAGACGAGCAGGAAGCAGGCGCCGAATAGCGCTAACAACAAATCAGGACCCCGAATAACCCTATACAGAAGTTGAATTAGTGATTCACCGCATGAATCAGAAACTTACAAATTCACGCATGCAAAAAAAGCTGCTCCAATCGCGCGTTCTTCCATACCGTAGTTGTTTTCGCTGCGGGAGCCAGCCTGCCGCGCGATGTCGCGTTGCGAAGAGCGAAAAAGTCGCGTTCTGTCCTAAGTACCCACACCCTACTCAGGCAAGTCGTACGATCGATACACATCCAATGCTGTGCGACAGTTACGATCGCTGCTGTCTGACGACTATGCGTGTCGCCCCTTCCGTGCAACATGGCGATTACTTCCAGGGCCCGCATTCGATCATTCCCAACAATGCCCCTCCAACTCCCACAAGCGGAAAACTTGGTCGAATTCTTATCAGATTTCGTAAGAAAATATTGAAGCAATGTTTTCTCACCCAGTTCTCTTTTATATCTTTTTTTTTTCCTTTCTTCTTATATTGTAAAAGGCCATGAGAATATGCTGCTCCGTAGCCAAAACCTGCCCTATCGCAACAAAAATGTTTTCAGCGAGTATCCATTGGTTGTGATTGTTGTTTCCTTCGATATGTTTCATCACTCTCTTCGCTTTTTCAGTAATAATTGTGTTGGAATTGCAGATACGTGCTTCTTGAATGGTAGAAATGGCTACGAGTTCTCACGGAGGTGAGCGTAGGTACAAAAATCGACCTCGATTCAAAAAGGTTGGGAGCAGCGAAAAAAATCAAAGAAAGAAGATGAAATGAAAGAAATGGAATCAATCATTTCTCGCTGTGGAGAGTTATCAAGTGAGTTTTCGGTCATGATTATAGAAATGAGGAACCCCATTACCCTCTAGTTTAAGTTATCCCTATTGGCCTGGCAATTTCCGCAATTTTGCTAAGGGTTTTTTTTTCAGTGGGGAGGGGCATTGTGCAGCCCGTTCCATAAAACTCGCGAGCCAGGGGTAGCAGTATGGGTGACGGGTGAGGTGAGTGACAGTCTTTTACATGCGTGAAAGCTGGTGTTTCACACGAATCACCTGTCGCCGGAGCAGAACTGGCATTCATGATGGCCCCCTCCCACAACTGGAACGGATGCAACTCAAAAAGCGCCTTCAAAAGGTATGTAGGCGGACGCATCGTTTTGTACTCCTACTGACTAGTAAAGGGCGCCATTCGTTACGGGTCCCACTGCCTCCTGCTACAGTGAACCCTTCAATGTGGAGCGGGGAATCCGTGAGCCAGGGGCAGTGTAGCCAGTCTAGGGGGGTGGGGGGTGAGGGCAGTCACTTGACATGCGTGAGAAGCTGGAATGTTCGAATCCAACCGCGATCGCTTGGGATCCCCGCGGGTTAAGGCAGTGGGTCCCGCAACGAATGGCGCCCTATACTAGTCAGTAGGAGTACAAAATGATTACTCCCTATAGTGATTCTCCGATAAGGGGGTGGCATTGTGAAGCAGTGTCGAGTGTTGCACTCATCCCCCACCACTAGACTTCCTCACCCCTTGGTCGCGGGTCCCGTTTCGAGAATCCTGTGGGGAGTGTGTGGCAGTCTATGGGGTGGGGGTGCGGGCACTCCCTGAAGCCGCCCCCCCCTTACTGTCATAGCGCATACGTTTTGATAGTTTTCTTATTAGGTAGCTCCGATTGATGATAGTAGGCCCTGCAGTAAAGAGCGTTTCATGTAGGTGTGGCGAAAGAATGACGAAACAAAGAACCATTAATTTCTTCTTAAAAAGACTATAATCCCACTACCGATAATTAAAATTGTTCTTAGACAGGCTCACAAAAAAATAAAATTTGAGTGCACCCCTATCTTTGCAGGCAAATACCACCAGCTTCAAACGTTTCTCGGATCTGCCTTTGTCATCCAAAACACTCCGTGGTCTCAAAGAATGCGATTATGAGGAACCGACAGACATTCAAAGAGAGTCTCTACCGTTTTCGCTCAGTGGCTTAGACGTTGTTGGTGCGGCGAAAACGGGAAGCGGAAAACTCGGCGAAACTTATAACAAGTACCAGATTTCTTTATGACTAGCTATTATACAGGGGGGGCCAAAAAAAAAAGACATTTTGCCTCCACTTCCAGATGGATTTAAGCACATTTTACTCAACTCAGACCGAACGGTTCCAACTTATTATTAAAGAGTGCATTCCATTCTATAAGAAAATCTTCATAGTGGCCACGTACGTGGACGGCATCAGAAGAATTAGCCCTGGAAACATGGTGCACTGGTCGATCTCAATGGGGTCTTCGAAGGATCGTGTACCATAACGACCCTTACTGGAAAGCTAGTTCCGAGGGGATTTGCACAGTGGTAGCTAATGCCTCTAGAAAACTATCCAACATTAAATCGATTCACGAAATTGCGTAAGAGCTTCAGGCTGAAGCTCTTACGGTAGACCTCCTTGAGCCTGACGACGGTGACAGATGACGTCATATTCTGAAGACGGTGAGGGCAGTGAAGGAGAGCCTGCGTACACTAATAGAGGAACACTTAGGGAATACTCTGCTGAGGAACTCCCGTCAACGACAGGCAATCTCTGCGAAGAAAAAAGAGCCGAAGTCCGACATAGGCAAAATGTCTTTTTTTTTGCCCCCCCCCCTGTATATGTATGTTTCTGCACTTTCTCATTTCATTAAATTGTTTAAAGGTGTTGGAATCTCTCTGGAGGTCGGGTGGTCCGAACTACTGTGGTCTGGGCGCATTAATAATTTCTCCTACCAGAGAGCTTGCCCTTCAAACGTTTACTGTCATAAATCACGTTGGAAAGTATCACGACTTTTCGTGTGCTTTAACTCATTGAGTAAGTTTCATACGCTTGAGCTTTTTTAATTTCCGCCCCATCCGAATTTTAGGAACTGATGTCGAGTATGAAAAAAGCCGTCTTGGCAGAGTTAACATCATAATCTGCACTCCTGGGCGATTACTACAACACATGGACGAGAACGAGCAACTGCTGTGCGATGAGCTACAAATAAAAACAAAAAAAAAACTTACAAATATAGTATTGACGCGCAAGAATCGAATTCTCGACATGGGGTTCAGCCAGCAAGTACGTTTTGATCTCCACGCTCTTTTACTCCACATTTCCTGTGGCATTTCTTAGCCCTTTGACTCTTGGTGGTAGCTCTACGTACCACAACAAAGTTCTTCAGAGGACGGGTTCAGCAAAAACTTGCGTCTCTACTCCGGTTGATGGCGCATCACACATGGTCAAGAATAGGGGTGACGCGGCCAGAAATGCCAATTATCCGGATTGGCATGGGTCACCAAAACTTCGCATTTGTGTAAGCGTCCCCCTATTCTTGACCATGTGTGATGCGCATCACGCAAGCAGTGACGGCGTTTTGGGGCCATCCCCGGCCCGGCTGCAAGTACTTTTATTGTTGATCTGTTCAATTTTTAGGGCCTCATTCTCTGGGGTTGTGCTTTGTGGATGCTGATCGATTTAAAAGCAGATTAGTGCAGATTTAGGTCAATGCTATTGTTGCGAATTTGCCCTAAAGAACGACAGACTTTGTTATTCTCCGCCACTCAAACTCGCAACATCAAAGATTTAACTCGGGTCTGCACAAAGGTATACTGGATTATTCACGATATCGTTTTTCAGCAATATTAGTAATCTGTAGCAGTACAGTGACATAGGTATGCAATTCTCCCAATTACAGGATCCAGTGTTTGTGTCAGCTCATGAGCGTTGTGCTCATGTCACTCCCGATTGTTTGGTACAGTCTTATATGGTTTGCGAGCCAGATTAAAGCACCACGATTGCTCGTTTCATATATTAATGAACAACAATCAAAACGATCATATTCGTTTCCAGCTGCAAACAGGTATGTTGGAAGAGTTGAATTGTGGCTCACCTAAGAATGCTTAGGATTTATTAAATCTTACTGTTATTAAAACAAGTTTTAACTGACTCGCGCTCTGTGTGGCAGCGGACCTTTCCGCTCGAAGGGTGGAACCAACGGCCTCTGAAGACGACGATTCAGTCGAAACGTTAGGCCATTAATAAAAGGTTCCACCGAACAACCTCGTAAGGCACAAGAAAATTTGTTAAACTTACAACTGACATGCCGAGGTTACAAGAAGAGAGAAGTTGGAGAGTTACGGTTAGTATTTTGGAGCACCATATTTTCTCTTTGCGCTTTCCGTTCGAAGGTGTGAGGACCCGTTTTTTACTCCGAGCAGGCGTATTTGAGATAATTGAGCTTAAAATCACCGGTAATTCAACTGTATCAAAAAATGGCAAGGATTCAGTTCCAAAGAACTGAATCCCCTTGGCCATTTTGTACAGTTGAATACACGGTGATTTCAATGGAAGATGTGGTATAAAACCTTCGTCGTGAAAGCCATCAGTTGAATCTGGTCTTTTCCCTACTAAGGCAGCAAAAAAGCAGTTGAATGTTATGAGCTTTTATTTCATGCATTGCTTTAATTTGAATCGTTACTTCGGATTCTAAATACACTCATCTTTAAGGCACGTTTCCTAACTGGAGCATTTGCATTCGCCTGGGCTACCGCTGTGATGGGATGTGGCAGCCCATGAACATAATAAAAGCGAAGAACGCTGTCGATGTGTTTCAGAAGTTGAAAACAAAGAGGTATCATAATTGCTATCCATACTTCTTTTCCATTACGCGTGACGGTTTTTTTTTTGTTAGGTTGCTTTAAAAGTCTGTCTAAAAATTCTCACCTTTTGTCCTCCATGGATATTGGCTGCGTAATGCATGGGTTATGCCATCCGTAGTATGCAATTCTATCCAGTGTCAGACGGCGCTGCCATAACGGGATGGCGCAAGAATGGCTTCGGTTGACAAACAGCGACTGCTCTTGCATTTTTTTTTGCGAATATGTTCGTGGCCAGTAATACGATCGAGACCAAGATAACAGGCGGTGTTGTATCGGAAAGTTCACTGGTGTTGCATGCTTTCTCGTTGGTTAAATACGCTCGAATTGGAGGACACGATCTCCGCGCAGGGCTACTTCGCCATCGAACGTTCCCTTGTTATGATTCTATCTGAAGCGTCACGCTTGCGGTCACCCTCTGTATATAACAGACCAGTGTGTGCGTCGAAACGAAAAGGTGGGAACGAATTCCGAGAAAAACATTCGAGACGTATCCACGTACACCTTGCTAACAAATTGAGCTTTGGCTACCCGGCAATGGAAGCTCGAGCTAGAAAAGGCAAGTGGTTTCCCATTTATCTTGCGCCCAACTACTGCATAGGAAGCACTGGCAAGGATGAGTACTGTGATGCAGTGGTCGGCGAGTTCACCAAGTTGTACGTAATAACGGCGACTGCTGCTCGAAATTAGGTCAAAACCGACTAAGTTTTATTGATTCAATTAATCCTCGATCATAGAAAATTTGTGCCTCTTGCGGACAGAGCTTTTTGAAGAACTTGATATTCTGAATTTTAAATATTCTATAGAAACCTCTGCCAGGCAGCCGTCATGATCGCCACTGATGTTGCTAGTCGCGGTCTCGATTTTTCTGACGTCGACTGGGTCGTTCAAGTTGATTGTCCTGCATCTGTAGAAGACTATATCCATAGGTAATATAGCAGATATAGTGCGGTTCTTCTTGTTACGACCCAATCTTCTTCTATTCAGAGTAGGCCGAACAGCTCGAATGAATCAGTCTGGACATGCTGTTCTTTTTTTGACATCGTCTCAAGAAGGAGCCTATGGTCGCAGCTTTACGTCGAGCTAATATTCCTGTGACAAAACAAATGTGCGTGAAATAGGATTTTTGTATGATTTTTTTGAACCGATTGATAGAATCATTGCAATAATGGTTAAGTTTAGCGCAGATCCAAGAGCGTTGGTTGATATACGAACGAAGATGCAAGCAACACTTTCTCAGTTTCCTGAACTGAATCAATTCGCACAAAAGGTGATATTCCTTTCTGAACTTTCAATTTTGTAAACCTGTACAATTAAAAGAACGACACCTTTTGAGTTCTAACAAAGTTGCATCAGGTTTGTCGAAAAGTCGTTTGCCACAACTCTTTTCACAAATATTTTGAAATGAACCGGCATGGAAATTTGAGATCTTAAGATAGCCAGTAATTTCGCACAACAGATTACCGAGGTTTGCGTGGCTTATCGTTTTCCTGTTCTATAGAGGGCGGCAGTGAGGCTTGAAGAGATCGGCAATTGCTTTGCTTAGGCCCGAACCGCGTAATCCGAGGTTTTTTTGCGCAAAGCCGCACTAATCGAATAGGGCGAATCTACATACTAATCGATGTGTGTCTGTAGGTGCTTCAGGGAACATTAGCCGAATGTGCTTCCCCTTCTCCAACTTATCCCCACTTGCTCTCGTAGTTGGAGCTGGTGGCTCTCTCGGTTCACGACGTAATCGTGACTGGTTTATAATCCCTCGAACCCTGTAGCTCTGGCCTCGCTTCGTCTGATTACGTGCATCTCGACCATCTTCAGCCCTTTCTGAACGAAGAGAACTTCAGGGACAAAAGATGGGTTTTGGGAGAAACTCTGGGGTCATCTTTGTTTCAAATTTTCTACTACCTACCTACAATACCTACCTCAAATCCTGCCTTCCTTCTTCTTGAGAGAGTCGACAACTTGCGCGAGCGTAGAGTGTGATTAGTTAACGGGGATGGTCCTTCTGACTTCCGAAATGGTTCGTGTTCAAAATATTTGCAAGAGTTGTGACGGCAAACTTTCTGGCAGTCTAATAGAATAATAGGAATACTTCCTTTCTTCTTCTTATTTTTTTCTCATTCAGAGCCTTGTTGCTTATCTTCGAAGCATATATATGATGCGAAACAAGAAAGTTTTCGACGTCACCACTATTGATGCCGCTGCATTGGCCGCATCTTACGGTCTCGTCACTGTGCCCAGAGTTCGATTTTTGAGCAAAAAAGGGATAGAATCATGTCTATTGTGTAAGAATGCGATTAAATGGCAAGCCGTATGCTTCCACAGACTCCGCACAAACTCAATTTGTTTTACCTTTTTTCTTGTAGGTGTTAGGTGAACGCAATGAACTCTTAACACCTGTGAATATGTTTGCAGGGCGCCAAGGATAAAGAAGATGTTGGTGGAAAGAACTCAGCAACACCCAGACTCCCGAAGAGTGATGCAGAAGAAGAGGTATGTGCTGCAATGGTGGCTCCTTTATATAAGCGATGTGGATATTTGTGGGTTGCTTTTGAGAGCCAATTTTTCATTTTAAAAACTGTCATTCCTTGAATAATTTTCGATTATTACAGCATCACACAGCAGTTGGAAGTTTTGACGTTAATGAGGAAAACGAAGACATTATGGTAGTGAAAAAGAAGGACGTGTTCAGTTTGCTAAAACAAGACCCAGAGCCGGTGAGTTGCAACGTTCTCGGTAACCGTTGATTTCATTCTAAAAAAACTACTCAGTGTATGTTCGTGAGCATAGTCACCCGCCCGCTGTGGGAATTTCGGAATTTTTCACATTTCCCCTCTCCGAAGTTGGCTGGAGGTGATGATATAATCTTTAAAATGGCGGTTTCTCACCCATTGGGCACATTCTTCACGACTATCATCACCTCACTCCAGGATCCCCGAGAACAGCTCCCCTCTTACGATGAGTGTAAAACTTGGCACAACAGACCCTTTTTGTGATTCTTTGCTTCATCTATGATATTAGTACCGTGTTTCTTGTATTGTGCTCTAACCTGACTTTTTAGCACGTGTTTTTTTTTGGAGGTAATCTCTTTAGTAGGATGATTCCTTCTATTTCAGGCAGGTATTGCAGAGCAAGCTACGTCTAGAAATAAGGCGAACACAAAGGTTGTGACTAAGATGAGTGCTGCCAAGAAGTTGTTGAATAAAAAGCTGAAAGTTAACGTGCGGAAGGTCTATAATGAAGAAGGAGAACCTGTGAAGGTACAGCGAGATTTCCATCGTTTCTCGCACCTACCGGTATCAGCTATTTCTTGAAAGGCTTACTCATAGGTGGACGGTGTGGTGGAGAAAACCGAGAGCGCAGGCTTGGATATCGCATCAGCCAAGGAATCTATCAAGCAAAGCAGTGTGGTATGATCATATTTCTTTACTATCATTTCTTTAAGCCCCTGATGCTGCTTGTCAGCTGTCATTCAGTCGGATTTCTTCCATTTCCACGTATTTCACACCTACACTTATTCAACTTCTCAGCGTTAGAGTGGAGAAGAATTCGATTTCCTCATTTACTCTACGATATTGTTTGTAGGAAGATCGGAAACGACATAAAGCCTTATTGAAACAGAAGAAAAAGGAGGAGAAAGAGCGTTTGAAACGAAAGAGGAATAGGGATAGGTAAGCATAAGCATTCTCGGTTGTAAATTAGGAATACGGAAATGTTTCAGAGGAGAAGACTTGGATATGGGTGAAGGTGGAGGCAGTGGGATTGACAGTGATGCAGATTTGTCATTTTTGCCAGATCCTGATGAAGTTCGGAAAAGATATGCAGAGCAAGGTAAGTCTATGTGCCTGAACTTGAAGTCTGTGTACCTGAAAACGTACAAAAGAATCCTGTTAGACTTTTCCATTATGGTAGAACCAAGTCAGAGGTGAGCAACACCCTTTTCTGTACTAAATAGTTACCTCTATAATACTGTTATGGTGTTTGTTTCTCTTCTATAGTCGTGTTTGCCCATGTTCATATTGTTCCTTACAATTATGTATACATTTATGGGTATTTACCGCTCCCCGGCCATCATAGTTTGCGTTCCCTCGCGGTTTGCCTGCAGCTCGATCTGGGCTAGATATGTACCACTTGTGCGACTTTGTAACCTTGCGATCGATACATATCTGCTCAATTGTTTAGCTGCAAACAAACTGCAAGAATCTCGTCAAGTATTACCGCGGCAATACGGCCGGCGATTGTTAACTGTATGTGAATGCAGAAATTGAAGATGATTCTCATTTAGCTCCAGAAGAACAAACTGTGGAGAGGATTCCACGGAACCACCTGCTCCGTTGCGAAAACGACGACGGCAGCGCAAAGAAATCATCAGCACGGAGGAGCAAGCTCTTGCCCTTCTTAACCCCTTCTGAGCGGTTTGAATTAATTGAGCAATTCGATTGTTATCTTGTTAAATATGATAGTTATACTCGTTGTTGTTGTTTTGTTGTGGTGATATAAATATTTTGTAAAATCTAGCTTCCTGGTTCATCAGCGGTTTACACGAACATTTATTTTTTCCTTACTTGAATTAATCGTTCATGACGATTGCATCTCTATGTTGGCCGTATTGGAGAGAATTTTGTTATTTTGTATGACATTTCTTTCCTTTTTTAGATGGCGGTGTCATACATACCCGCCGGTAGAATAGCTGTGAATGAATTTCATCGGAGAGCAGATGATGATGTCATTTACTGGAAGAGGATGCAGGTTTGTGCAATACTCTTTGCTCGTTTTCGTTTCGGTTCTCCTACTGGTGTATTTTTTTCAGCAACTATCAGTGTTTCCAAGAGCCTTCGTCGGTGACTTCAGTTGCGTTCAGCCCTAATAAACCGTACAATGTAGCATCAACGAGTTCAGTCAGGCTGTCCTTGTATGATACAGTCGTTTGTGAGCCAATTAATATGTTCAGCAGGTGATTACTTTTTCATGTCTGATTTTATTTTCAATATGAGGCGTACCCAGTAGAACTGCACATGGTGTGCATTCGGTCGTTAATTCGGCCACTCCTAGAGACAGGTGATAAGGTTAATTAGGTCTTAAAGAGGGGAACCTTCCTTCGGTAGACGAAGCTTCCCCAAGAGACCGATATGTAGCCCTCTCGAGGCATTCTAGACGCACTTGTAGCGGCTTCACAAGCCCTACCCGTGGTGACCCTGCCTTCGTAGGGAGCCCGGCGAAAAAGTGTAGAATGGCAGAGCCAGGCGTTCATTCCGATTATTCTTCGTGGTAGCATTTTGTAAGGTCAACGGGCAAAAATGGTTCCATATCGCGAGTTCGCCCGTTTTCTTTACTTTTTTGTCACACCAACACCACCTATAACCTCCACTTTCGTTACCGACGCCGACCAATTTATCGTGCCATCTGCTCTCGAAGCAGGTTAACATCTCGCCCATGCAATTTAACTCTTTCATGCTGCAGGCCATTTCCATTGCGATTTGCAGCCTTTCCCATAGAAGCGTATCCGAATCATTGATCCTTTCTTCTTTGGTGTGCATTTACCGTGCACTCTAAGAAACTCATCAAATATCTCATGCATGCACTACCCATTCCGATTTGATTTTGATTTGAGTACGCTTTGTAGGTTCAAACGTGCTGTTTATGGTGTGAAATTTCGTCATGACGGGGAATTGATAGGTAATTTCTATTGTTTTTTCTGTTCTTTTTAGTATACTTTTACACTTCGTACACGGTAACTTTCTTACAGCAATCGGTGGAGAAGAAGGGAAAGTCCGTGTATTTGACGTAACACGGTCGAGTGGGGTGGGTAAGGTGAGTTTTTTGTGGTACCTATTTACACACATTTTTTTTCGTTTGTCATGCTCGTGCGAATAACTATTTTTAGGCCCCGTTGCGCAGTATCAAGGCTAGTCAAGCGACTGTTCGTTGTGTAGAATTTTCGTCTTGTGGTAAAATGCTGTACTCCATGGCTAGTGATGGACGGGTCAAACAGTGGGATATTGCAGATACAGGGTGATTTTCGATATTATGGTTTAACCTCTCTTCTGTTTCTTCTCATGACTCGAGTACCGTCTTGAAAGTCTTTTCCTTTACCATCTAGCAGCTGGACGGGCATGTCTCGTACGCTGCGTTGAAATTTTATAAGAACCGGCGGTTACTGCTCGTATTCGCTTGCAAATCGCGAGATTCTGCCTAAGGCTTCATTGGTATGTGGATGTCAGACTCCGGCCGGTGTCAGACTGCTAATCCTGCAATTCAATAGCGAATAACGGGGTACGAGCGATGCGCCTGCGAAATGATGTTGCAGAAAAGTGGAAAGAGTCCTTCCTATGCGCACTTTGACTTTCGCCACTTTCCATCACGCTTTGTCGAGTCCCTGGTGCGCCGTTCGAACCGCTGATGCATCGCTCGTGCCTGGTGATTTAGTGGCGAGTTGCTGGATTCGTGGAGTCCGACACCGGCTTTCGCGCTAGGGGATCGCTGACATTTGCTTGAGTAAGAGGAAATTGTCGCAATGGTGAGCTGCAGTCCGCTTCGAAATGCTCATGAAGCATTTTTTATTCCTAATTTTAGGAGTTTTTGTGCTTCTGTGTTTGTCGTTTCTGCTTTTTTTCCGCTAGAAATTTCAAACTCATCGAAGTTTTCTTTGAGGTCGACACCTGTGATTGATTTTGCTGCTCATCAGGACGAGATTCGAGCGACTGCCATTTCTACTCCTAACCATAATTTGTTCTTAACGGGTGGATACGACCATAAGGTACCGTCTGTCTTCCTTTCTACTCTGGAAGTGATTCAAAAATACGCTACATTGTCTATAGAGCTTACCATGAATCGGTAGTCGAAGAGATCGCCGAATGACGTCGCATGCACATGCGAGTCGGAAAAATCAGTTGATTTCCAACTTTCGTACTTAAGTTGTTGG